ACCGCGAGCCCCGCGAAAATTACCCCGATAACGTCCTCGGCCATGGCTCGTTTGTCTCTCAAGTCCACACGGCAATTCTCTCTTTAAATGATGCTTACATTGTAGCTGAATCTTTCACATTCTTGTGTAAATCGTTAAAAACACTAACAATCAACATTGGTAATTTCTAATATATTAGAAAAACAATTTTTTAAATATTGTTATAATAAAAAAATATGATTTTCTTTTACAAACTTTTGCTTTTAAAATATGCATCTGTTTCAATCGAAAAGTTTTATATTTGGGCAAAATTTCAAACATTTTTGATTTTGCGAATTATCGCGAAAATTCTGTGCAGTTTATATCTACTTATATAACAATCTCTCTCTTAAAGTATTTTCATAAATTTCATACAATTCAACATACATATATATTTTGTAAAAATTTTGCATAATCAAACACACGTGTGCACATATATATCTAAAAATGATAAAAAAAGTATAATAAAGCTCGAGAATACGATAATGTCTAACGCGTATTCCGGGGGACATCGAATAATGGGGCAGTATGTGTACAGTATAGTATCGGTATAATAGTATTTCTCTCTCTCCCCCCCAATACAATGGGTCGGCCAGGTCAAGTGTGCGCACACTAATCATGTTCTTGGTCAGAGAGCGGAGGTCTGAAAATGTACTGACGAAATGCGAACTATGCACGAATCACAATACCCGGCTCGCACTCTCGGCCAGATGCCACGGAGCATTCTGTGTGATGCTGCCCTATGACCGGTATGCGAAGGCCCTGGAACGCGCGTTTCCCCGGGCCACGTATCGATCATCCTCGTATATGCCGATGCCGAATACTATTAGCCCATGTAGTCGGCTGCGCTTCATTTTATACCACTCTTTAGTACTGATGGAGTTCAATACTATGTCGTAGTAATACAGCATTCTTTATGAAATAAGTTAATTTTTATCTGTTGCTCTTTTTAATTTTTTAACATATTTCTTTACTTTTTATTAGAGATATTTTGTGATCTACTTTCACAAATGTTATGAATTATAAGAATGATAGAAGCAGAATCAACGTCGCGTACATCTGATTTTCATTTTAAATACCATTATTCAGAATTTATTGAATAATTAGCAATCCTTTCAAACCTGATTTGGACGATCTATAATGTGTGACAAAATACGAGATAGAAATCTATAATTTGATGTAATTAGAGAATATTTTAAGAACCGGAATAAGTATAAAATATTGATATATATCATAGTATAAATATATATTATCGCGATATATACTATTTTTGTGTGCATCTTTGTTTCCTGTTACGCGATATATAAAAAGAACTGTATCTCGAATTCTGTTGCAAATTATCGTCTAAAATAATTTTTAAAAATAATTAGTTCTGCATTCTTTTCAGCATAATTACATAGATTACGGTATTATCTATGTATGATGTAAATGATGATTATTATAACAATTCAATAACTTTAAATCTGCAAAAGCTAAAAATCTTATTCTTAAAAGTTTAAAAAGAAATCATGTTGTCTTGTTTTCTAGAAATAAAATTGAAAATTTGGAATGTTATATTGCCTCATTTTTTAAGAATTCTATCTAATTTATTTATGATATGAAAAAAATTCTTTGCAATTATATCAGAATACCACTTATATATACATAATTTATTAATATATTAAATCTTAAATATATCTATGAGCATACTTTTCAAACACTATCATATGTCTTCTATTTTTCAAAATATCTACGTTTTCAATATGGTCAAGATTATATTCTATTATTCATTTCATTGCGTACGAGATGGCACGCAGAAGAAACGCGGACTATTATGTGGAAAGACGACGCGAGTAGCCAAAAAGCCAAAATCCGCCACCTGTCTCACATGAGCCGTGCGAGAAGAGCGTTATTCGAGATATAAGAAACGACGTTGAGAGTTTTCCCACATAAAGCTGAAGAGGGATCGCGTGAGGGAGAGAGGGGCGGATATGTCGTGCGAGAAATCACAATAAAGACTTTCGGCCACTGTGGTGGGATTCGTGTCGAGAATGACAAAAGGTCCGAGTCGCGACGCGGAAGAGTGAAAAGGACGAACTATTATCCAGGGATTGGGTGGAGGGAAAGAGAGAGAGAGAAAAACAGAGTAGAAAACGCGTGGGATAAGAGAGGATTAAAATCGAGTACCCCTCCTCGAAGGGTATTAGTCTGTCCCTTATTACAGATACGATAGTCTGTTTTTTTTATGCTACCTTGTGCACAGATGACCCTCGAGCTTGCGGATAATATAATAGGGATTAAATGTGTATATAAATGCACGTGTGTAACCCGTCGTTTACATTTATATAGATATTATACGGTAATTTGCAAGAGAAATGATGTTATAATATTGGACAACAAATTTTTGCTATAATTTAAAGTCTGTTCTCCGTCTAATTAATATTTTAAAGTTGATATACATATATATCATATATTTCTTTTATAAACCCATATTTATAGAAATCATACATTTATGAACTATTAAAAACATATTTGGAAGCTTGAATAACTGATAGCAAACGCGAACCCGAACAGCTTCGTCCGCTTACTTCGTCATTTCAAACGTATCTTAAGCGCTCAGCTCGAGAAGCATCCCGTGAAACACGGGGCAGGAGGGACGAGCCAGGGGCTTGAGGGGGTGTCTTTGAATGGGTAAGTTCCGGATTTAAAATCCCGGGCTCCACTCGAAATCGCGTTACCGAATGTGTCTCCGCACCCTTCGCACGCTGCGAAGGGATTAAGAGTACCTACGTAAAGTTCTCCGTCTATTTCCACGATACTCACCGCGGGTAACCGCAGATGCGACGCGTCAAAGTCCCGCTCTCAAGTCTCAAATCTGTAATGTAAGCGTGTAAATACGCCGTCGTCCTCGCAGAAGGAATAACTGGCGCGAGTGTGTGCGTCGTCGAGTGGTGGCAAATGCATGGCGGCAAAGTAATTCGAAATGAAGGGCCTCAAACGAACCAACGTGTTCTCCGCCCTTAACGCGACAAAGAAGAAAAAAAAGAGGGAATCACTCTCCCGATGTGTAATTTAATTTCAAAGTGCGCACCCGCTACGTGCGAGATGTAATTAGAGACAGTGCTAACTACTCGAGTCCTCGAGATAATTAGTTGCGTTAAATCGCTTTCTACGACGAAGAACGGAAAAGGAGAATTTCGGGATTTATATTAGATCTTTATCTTCGCTATATTTGATTCTGTGTTCACTTGCGAGACAAATAAAATATCGTAAGACGCTGCATAATGGCAACGAAGAGCATCAAGATATCGTTATGTCGCAATAAAAGATTTTAAATCTATTTGCTTTTATTTGAGCAAATAACTTGTAACTATTGTGTAAAATGTCCTAAGCTGCTCGTATTTTTCTTTTTTTATAGATTCTTGTACTAATTTATTTACGAATGTTAATTATTATAATTTTTAGTCTTGATCATCGATATTATTATTATAATCAATGTCATTTTTAATATATTTTCTATTAATATTACGTTAAAATTATTAAACGTCATTTACTATGATCTACCTATTTATATAATTGTATATGTATATTGTTAAGACAGAGAAAGAGTACGTCAATGTCCAGCAATTATTGCTCACATAAAGTTGGACCAATTTTGAATAACTCGAGATGTGTCTATATATTCGTCACAATTGTTAAAAATGTACAATTATTTTTAATGCATTAATTTACTTCTAAGTTATTGTTAATATTTTAATTTTATTTTATCATATAAAAGACTTAGAAATGCTAAATTATTAGTTATTATTATTAGTTCTAGAACACAATCAAGAATCAATGTTTAGACACAGTAAACAGGTTTTGAGTTATTCATAATCGGAGCAATTTTATGCAGGCATTTATGAACACCACTGCATAAATATAAATAATGAAAAAATGCACTTACAGGTTAGAATATTGTTTTGCTTGATGCGAAACTATTGCTGTTTACTCCATCCGCTGCAGATTCCACCTTGAATTGTTCTGCATCAGCTCCCATCGACGAATTAATGAATACTTGAACCAAATTTTAGTCACATACATTCTCAAACAAAAGTCAACCTGTGCCTGCACTACTTTACTTATTTGAAAATCACACGGATTTATTTTGCAAATTTTCGACGCCGCGGTATACGAAATATAACCAAAAGATAAAATGCTTTTTGTGCCGCAATGAATCTACAGATATAATTGTAGTCGATACTGTAAACACATTTTGAGCGAACGAAAAAAGTGACGATTGTGTTGGAAATACCAACAACATCTTAACCGTTTCACCTGCTTTACGTGATGAAAAGTATACATTTCACATTCATAGTGTATCAATCTTCCGTATCGTCGTTAATCGCGAACATCCGCGGTAAGTAATACGTTCCGGTAGTTATTATTCACTTTAATCGACTTTTTCGACAAAGATTCGCAAACACTACGTACTTTTAATAAATTAATTAGCGATTAATCACGGAGCGTTACACATTCCGCGTAAAACGATGAGTCATGGTAAAAACTGTCATGGAGGCCAAAAGTAGAAAGTTTTAGGCTTATCTCCATTATTTTATTTAGGCTAGTTCTATGTACATAATGGCGCATTTGCAGTGGCGCAAATTATAGAGATTTAAGATTCAGCATCGATAATCGATAAAGATATCCCTACGCGCGCCACACACCGGTCACTATGATAACTGTGTCAACCCTGCGCCACACAGTGGTGCTAAACTACAAACGCGAATTATACGCCATGACACTTTTTATCACAATTGCAGTTATGAGAGACGCAGAATATACATCTCGCGATTAATTCCGTATTTCAACCGTTAAAAGCATTACAAGTACATGTATTTGTCGGGAGTGCCGCTTAAAGTAACGGGCGATTACCGAAACGTATTATTTACCTCGGATATTCGCGAATAACGATGCTTCGTTGTTTGTCGCACTGTTGTTGAAACCGGCGATAGAGACGCCCAAAAACCGTTATGTTCACTCAAAAAGATTGAAGCGCGATGTACTTTTCGTTACATGTAGTATGTTGAAATTGAGCTCGTCGAAACTAAATCAGGTAATTCAGTTATGTGCGCGTACTTAACGACCAGACATAGTGGTTACATTCCGTTATTCGCTAACAATACTGAAAATTTATAGTATATGTAACATAAATTTAAGATTTTTCAGTACTGACAGTGAATAACGGAACGCAGCCAGTGTGATCACCAGACAGACAATTGTCCGTTTCGCTTGCTCTGAATGCACGTACAGTGCCGAATGTGTGAGGTAATAATAACCAGATGACATAAAGTGCGTTTTATCTCGTTTTATTATTTACGTTTTATGTATCGCGACCGATAAATTCGTGACGTGAATTCGTGTATTTTTTGCGTAAGTAAAATGTGCGGGATAACTTTTGTTCCGTAATGTGTGATGAGTGATGTTCAGTGTAACTGAGTGATTCCTGATATTCATCGATTCTTTCATCAAGCTGACGCAAAACGGTATAAGACAGGATCTGTGGATGCAAGCAGGTGGAGCAGACTGCAATATCCTAGCTTGTGAGTAGTAACTCACTTACAATTATTTGTTTACTATTTAAATATGTATATAATTTTGTGATAATATACAATTATGATTATGTATTTATTAACTATTTATGTAAAATATGTTTAAAACTAAAATATTTGATCGTTTCCTTAGGTGCAGCTGAGGCGTACTTAGCTAGGATACAACGAATGGTGAGTGAATTCATTACACTTGATTACAAAACATTGATATTCTTCACTTTTTATTTTTCAATATTTATCAAGTAACTTCTAAGATCTACGCTGGAATAATCATATTCTTGTCTGCGTTTTATAATTTTATATATAAATAATATAAATGTTCTTTTCTACATATGTATATATTTTTCAATATAGTTTATATTTGAAAAATATTTTATAATTTTTCCAAATATCTAGAATTTATAATTTAAGAATCATAAATTGGGTATATAATTTCTATAAATTTTATTATTAATTCTGCAAATTGTATTATTAAAAGAAAGAAAGAAAGTAATTTTATATAACGATAAAATCTAGATATTTGTAAAAAATTGCAATATTTTGGAAATGTAAACTATATATATATATATAAACATAAATAGTAAAAAAAGAGCATTTTATAGAAATGCAAATTAATAAAAAACTGAATTTGAGAAACTATAATTTTGAGGATATATTAAGAATACAATATTCAATATATGCTTATTTAATATTTTTGCAAAAAAGCAAATTGTTAAAATATGATTTTAAATGTACAATTTGTTGCATTTAACGATGAAAATCATAGTTGTTGATACAATTGCTTTTATAGGAACTAATATAATCGATTCGCTTATATAGTACATGTTTTACGGGACTATTTAAGTCGAGAATTATAAAATTTGAAGATTCTTTAAAAATATGACACAATTTGCAAAAAGAATCCTACGAATAATGTATCAATACTTTTTTAGCCAGTCTGCTTCTTGAATAGTATTTAATTATTCAATTATTTTCCAAATATTACAAACACTTTTGCATGCATTTATGAACAAAAATTTAATTGTTACGTCCCAATTCTCGGTGCTTCACGGTGGTCCATTTCCCATCGTTCATCATCTGTCGCTTGTTTGGAAAATATCACAGTTTCGTATAAAGTATCTTGATCGGTCTGGCGCATGACCGATCGACGATGGGTCATCCAATACTATGCGGTGAACTTTTTGTATCCCGGGCTGTTTATGACTTGCTGGACGAGACCCGTTCATCGTCCGTCTCATAAGCAGCGGAGACTTTATGGGTTCTCGGCGTAATATTACGCTTCTGGTGGCTTGCCTTTTCGACAAGTTCCTCATTTTTAAAGTGTCGCTTGCGCACTCTTGCATTTTTCTATTAAATCATTCTATAATCGTAAATGTTATCAAAAAACTTATTTCGAAAATAAGACGTATTGTAAGATGGAGCGAGATTGAATCGGCAGGGGAGATGTCTTGCAAAACAAAAAATAATTTTAGATTAAAAATTATTATTACACTAACTTGATAGCAATTTGTTAGTTTTGATTATTACTAAATTATCATTGTTGACTGATTAATTTTCTTGATTTGTAGTCTGAAATATTTTTATCTGAAATATTAATTACTTTTAAAAAGTTTTTAAAAATTCAACAAATTAAGAAGTACAAAAATAGATAAGCTTAATATTTAACTTTCTATTTCTTACGTCAAGTACATGCGCGATATGTAGTATTATGAGAGTAGCTTTTCATGGAAATGACAGAATTGTGCCAGCAAGAAAGGTGTCGAAGCAAATAAGTGTAATAGTAATATGAAACATGCTCAATCGCTAATTATAACTGATCGGTGATCGAGTTCGTGATTCTACGGACATTAATGAAATCGAGCACTGTGACATTTTTTTGTGAATGCGCGCGTAAGTGTAATATGCACAAGGATATATCCTCTCCCTCTCTCAAGTATTACAAATAACAGATCATCGCAAATAGAAAATATCTATGACTTTCCTCGCCTATTATTCTCAAGGATTATTGTATAACTTAAATTATAATTTTAAATACATATCAGACGCGTAGATTTTTTGCGTCATTTTTACTTTAGGAATATTTCTCTTAATGTTTTCAACTTTTTTTAAAAATAAATTTATTCAGATGCTATTATTTTCCGTGGAATTAATCTTTTTTACTTATCTTTGTGATAAACTTTTAAGAAATTAAAAATAAAACTTATTCGAAAAAATTGGATAAGAAATAGGGGAAAAATTTGAGAAAAAATAATTCACTGTTTATTTTTCTTTTAAATTTCTTGATACAGCAATAATCCTTCGGGACTTGTATTTGAACCTTAAATTTCCATTAATTAAGAAGAAAAATGTACTTCAAGAGTTAGAGGAGAATATTTGATATATTTAACTGTTTTTGTTTAAGAATAATTTGTTTCTTTTTTCTTTCTTTTGAATAATAAATAAATAGAAAAGAGCCCGCTATCGTTTGATAATGATTCGATTGCAAATTGCTCTCGAAACGAGTCATCATTAATCCCGTTTGATACCGTAAATCGCATTCGTTTCGCTCTCAAGAATTCTCGTCAGTAACAATGAAGAAATAGTCATCGTGACCGCGCGTAACACACGCCGCACAGTCCGGCATGCGCGCATAATAGCGACAAACACACATTCGGCAGTTCGGCTAGTCTACTCATGAGTAAACAACATACATAAAACTAGACAGCGGTCCGCGACGAATCATATAAAGCTTGACATCTCCATCGCAAAGCGCGACGGAAACGAGAAACGGGCCCCGCCGGAGTCACGCCCATCGCGACCTATTGTCTGTCGGGCACGTCGTTCCGCCGAGATTTATCGTTTGGGGTCTTCTCTCTTGTCATTATCCACGCTCGATTCGTGACGATTATCGAACTCTTCTCACTATTCTACGTCTATCCCTCCCACAGAATTTGTTTTTGCCGCAGTTATTTGAGCAAAACCGTCCGTCGGTTGCAAATATACACGTCATATTGACGCTATAAGTCACATTTCGATCTTACATTTTGCTAAAATAATCACACAACTGCGAACAATTACATTAATATTTAATCATAATTCTAAAAAATGCTCTGAAAATGTTTTTAAAAAATGAAAGACAATTAAAACAATTGCTCACTCAAGTATAAATTAATTCTTGATAAATAATAAGTATTATATTTTAAGATAACAAAATGGAAAGTTACGTGAATTAATTGTCAGTTTTTCTATATTTATGAAAAAGGATGAATCATTTTTATATTAAATAAAAAAAAAAGAAAAATAATACTGTAATACGAAAGTTTTTTATAAAGGATATACAAAATACAGGAAACAGTTGAATAATGGACGACATATTTGTCCGTGATAGTCATTCGTCGAGCGAGCGAGATTTATCGTCCGAATAAGAGCGTCTCGTTATTCCGTACGCCAAATTCGTCGGGGGCTTGTGCCCGGATCATCGGATCATACTCGTCGTCAATTTTGTTTTCAACGTAGCGGCCGTTAGCGCCGTTTCAGCTGTAGCGATTCGCAAACGGCTGTCGGCGTGAACGCCAGTGTTATTAGCATGTCGAACGATATTGCGAGGAACGAGAACGTCGATCCGGCAGGCGTACGCGCCATTAATCCGCTAGCCAAATTACAAGCCACGCTGATGTTCAATGGTGCGAGTGCGATTTCCGCGCTGTGTTACTTTTCGCGCGCATACGTTGGGTGCGGTTTTGGATCAACAAATTTCTGAAGAATCTGGATGAAAATTTGTTTTTCTTTTTCAAGATCAATAGTATATTTAATGTTTTTTTGCACTTTTTTGGGGGGTATCACGCAACTTACTTTTCGGCTAACTTTGTTAGTTGTTGAAGTAAAGAATATAAAGTAAACTTCTTCTGTAACATTTACAATATATGTTATTTTCAATAAAAGAGAACGATACAAGTTTTAATTTGAAAAAAAAATCGCAGAATTTACAAAGATTTGGCTTTATTCAAAATCTAGCTATTTTATTTTATTGTTACATTTATATACTGACATTTATGAAAGAAACTAAATCTAAAACTTTGTCCAAATGATTGAGATAGTATTTTATAAAAAAAAAACATTTACTACTGATATATCGCTGTTACACTAATGTCACTACTTTGTGCAACGATTTATGTGCAACCATTAAAGCTCAAAATACCAACACTTAATTAAACGCTTGGTTTAATAATTTTTCTCAACATTAAAGAAATTTGTCATACTTGGAGCATTATGGGCTACTAATTATGTAATAATCAATACATGGAATACCTTATGGAAAATTTTAATTACGGATTATGATCAAAGCTTCGAAAATACGTTCGTCCGCGTAATCCAGAACGGCCGAGGAAGATATCAAAAGCGGCTTTCGCACGCGATTCCGCGAGAACGCGGAGATATGCGAAGAGTAGGATTGTGTTGTGCTCACACTCATATCCACACACACGTGTACACACACAAACACACATCTGTTATCCGAGTGTGCAGGCGAACAAGGAGCGAGCGCGACGAAGTCGCCTGTGAGGGAAAGTGAGATGAAATATGCGAGGGTGCAGAAAGCGGGGTGAAGTACGGGGAGGAAGTTGCGCGCAGAGGTGGCTCGCGTGGGTGGCGGTGGTGGCGGCGGTGGTGAGGTAGTCATGACGACCGCAGCGACCAATCATCCGGAAGTAACGCAGCGCGAGATAACTCTGCATCCAATCAGGTTTAAAGCGGGGACGGGGCTGGCCATCCCCCGCAGAAAATCACCCCCGTAGCAAAATTTCCACCGTACGAGGGTAGATATACAAGACGACAGACGGCTTTCTCCCTCTCTGTCTTCCTTCCACTTTCTCATTTTTCCTCTCTCGCGATCGCACTTTGCACAGTGCTCGAAGCCAGGGTGACGGCGGGACGATGGCGGTTGTTATCCCTTCTCTCGATTTTTTTTCGTCTTTTAATTCATAACCTTCGACCGCCGGTGATAACCTGCAGGTCGCTGATAAGAGAGCCGCGATGTCTAGGGAGAGAATGTCTGGGGTGGAGAAGCGCGGCGGTGGCTGATGAGCTCCGTGAAACTCGAAGATCGAATTCTATATAGGAAGAAAAAGGCCAAGCAGAGAGAGCTTTCGGCTCTACGGGTATCTAATTTTCGGTATCTCGTTCCTTGTGCGATT